TAGATTTCAGTAAGCAAAACTTTTAATTTGGCAATAACCATAGAAGATACTTAACAGCTGGATTCAGGGTATATCGCAGTCGAGCTCACTCGACTACAGCATTTTGACTTCTTTCTTCTGCTTCTGCATCTGCTCGCTGGCAAGTGCTCCAAATACCGCGCCCATCTTTGCAGCGTGCGTGAGTTTCTCGTACTCGTTCTCTTTCTATTGTTGCTGCTGCTGTTGTTGTTTGCAGAGCATTGCAAATATTTGACTGTGCTTGTTTAGCAACACAAAGTATCTAACAGATGCACACGCGAAGCTCGACTCCAAACTGCTGAAACTGTAAACTGTGCAAATAGTGAAGGAGTGAGGAGGAAACCTGGAGTGGGAGCGAAGACGGGAGTTTCTCAGCGCAAACTGTGCCAAAAGACGTATGGCGCAAAGCAGGATAAATTTGCCAAGTTTATCATAGCCAAATGTGGGCGACGGGGTTGGGGTAGAGCATGGGGGATAAGGGGGGCTTGGGGGAGAGTGATACGTTGGCAAAACATGAGGCAAAGCATGAGCATAAAATATTGTCAGCGATATTTTAACGCGCACTCAAGCGAAAATGTCATATAAATAACACCAGGGGGTTGGTTGGGGCAAGGGACAAGGCGAGGGCTGCAATCATCCTGAACGCCCAACCCCCCCCCCCCCCTCCCCCACAAGAAGAGGGGCAGCGAATATGGAAAATGGGTTTTGGGTTTTTCTCTGCTATTGGCTGGCGTCACTTTGAAATATTAAACATTTGGCAAAGAACAGCAAGCCCGCTTGAAGTTTATTGCTTACGTTGTTGGCCACAAAGAGGGGCAGTGCAAGGCGGGGTGGGGGCGGTGCGGAGCGTGCTGACAGTTAGTGGAAATTGGAGCAGCTCAAAGATGGCTAAGAAATTAATAAAACGAGCAAAGCAAGAGTTGTGGACAAGCGGCACGATACCATTTAAAGCTCAGCAGCTTCCAAAATAAAACTCAATGCAAGACTGAAATGAATCGAAAAACTAGAGAAAACTCATCGCAACTCTCTCTCTCTCTCTCTCTCTCTCTCTGTTTCTCGCCGCTGTCGTATTAAATACGAAACATGCATTTATTTAGCAATTTCCCGGCAATGGGAAAACAAAAGAAAAACTGTTGGAAAACTACTTTTTTTTTGGCCGTAGTTTGGCAAATTTTCAAAAACTCACCCAACTAAACAATAAGCACCAACAATAAAGCGGGCAGCCGACAAAAAACGGAACTCATAGCGCAAAGCGAAAGCAAAGCTTGCCCAACAGCCGGCGCAGCAACAAACCAAACACTACCAGGATGGGGCAGGGTCCGGGGCCAAGGACTACGGCGGAACCAGACAGACACATACAATAAAAGAGTTTTGCCACTTTGCCTTTTTTCTATTTTGTGGGGCATGGCCGCAAGGCTACACAGCCACAGCCACAGTTGAACTGACAGCCAAACATTTATAACAATAGTCAGTTGGTGGGAGTTGGGGTTGCTGGCCGGCCGGGTCGGTCCTGGACCTGGACTCGGACTTGCACCCGGCGTCGGACACAGGCAGAACTAATAAATGAGTTCAGCAGCGGGCAGCAGTCGAAAAAGATTTGTCCGACGCCCGTAAACCAAATAAAAAGCCAAAAAAAAAAGAAAAGAAAAGAAGAAATCTCAGCGCTCATGGCGGTGGCTAGCTATAAAATATTTAGAGCATACTTCGGAGCGGCAGACACATCAGCTGATGGGGAGAAGGGAAATGAGTGGGGGTATAGGTCTGGGACTGGGACTATGACTGGGTGACAATTTAAATGGCGTTGACTAAAGACTGAGGTTAGAACTGAAACTGAATTTGCTTGTGACCGACCAAGGGGAAGCTTAAAGTCTGCTGATTGAGATAAAACGAGTAGTTTGTGAAATATGTAAAGAATGAACAGCTAGCTTCGACCGGCCGAATATTAAATACGCTAACAGATCCGATTTTAAAATAATATATTTATTTTTTCAAAAGCTTATTAAAATTAAAATATGCTTATACAAATTATAGAAACAAAACAAACATTTGAGTTCGCTTGCCTTAATGGATAATAACTCGTAAATCCTAAAAGACTCTTTATATGGTTTGGATGTGCTGGAAAAGCATAGTGTTTTTTATACAGGCATTGATCTGTCTAGTATAACGCATAAGTCAACATAATTAATATAATAATAATATATTATTTATATAGAATCGTTCATTTCGTGACTGAAGTAAATTATTACACATGGTATTTTGTTAAATATGAAAATAATTATTGATTACTAATTAAATATATTTTACAAAGGCCTTCGAAGAAATATGGATTTCTTTAAGCTTTATGGATTGGTCTGATCAAGAAGGATAGTGTGAAATCCACTTGAGTAAAAAATGTGTCCTGGAGTCTCTTTTAGCTGACCTTTTACCAACACAGTTCGACAACACATTTTGGCTTGTGGAGCACCTGGAGCAATTCTTTGCTGACAATGTTGGTTTAGGCCAGGTTGCAGCTGGCTTGTGCTCCCGGGCTCCCGGTAAGTGTCTCCTCGACCCCCAAGAAGAGTGTCTGCTAAACGTTCACATTTGTTGGGGCTAAGCCAACAGCTTTGAGCAAGTTTGGGTCATGTCCGGATGCCTTCTGCTCTGGGCCATTTAAGAGACTGGTCTGCAGATTGTTTTAGCCATTTAGCAGCATTTCACAATTCACATTTCAGTAATTTAAATTTAATTTTCCCAGCATGTGTTGACTGACTGCCTAAGCAGCTGCCACCCGCACGAGGTGCACATAAATGGAGCAGTCAACTACTCGACTGGTCGAGGACTGGAGGACAGATCCTTGCCTGCTTTCCTTGATTTTTATTTTGCGAATCTGCTTTCAGTTTGTTGTTTGTTTTGTGTGTTGTTTGTATGTTTAACGGTTCGCTTCGTCTTTGTGGCTCCGAGTTGAGCTGCCAAAAAACAAAAAACCAAAAGAAAAAAAACAACAAAAAGTGAGTCGCAGTCTCAACAAGTCGCTTTATGGCATATGCATGATAATGATGAGAGACTGCAGTCCCACCAAGGACCCGTCGCTCCATTTCTGCGGCGTTGTTTCATATGATTGTGCCGCTGAGTCGCTGCCGGGTGTTTATGTGATATTTACATAATAAAAACGAGAGTCTGGCGAATTGTTGTTTGGAGCCGAGTCTCGCTGCTCGTCCCGAGAGTTTGCTGCCAGCTCTTATCCGTTATCCTTTTTGGCGCAACATAAACAGCACAAAGCCATCACTCGTCCCCAATGCCACCACCACACCACCACACCACCAAACCAGCACACCACCACAGCACCACAACGATGCCGTCACCCATCCTGAAATATGACCCACATCTATGATTATTTTCATGACGCCTTCGGGGCCGAACCATTTCCAACTCGAGCAATGCGTAAAGTTGAAAAATATGAAAAAGCCAAAGCCAAATTGTGTGAGGGGGCGTGGCCGACTGGTTGGGTTTTTGTTTTGTATACTGTGTGGGGCTGGGCAAAAACAAAAACAAAAGCAACAACAACAGCAACAACCAAATGTTGTGTTTCCCCCTTTTTGTGTTTTATTTATTTGATAGAGCACTTGGGGTTGCGCCTTGTGCCCACATCCTAGCTGGCATCCTTGAACTTCTGGCAGTTGTGCGCTAAATTAAGTTTCCTTTTGCTCCCGAACTGATAAATGTCCCCAAAGCATACAAAGTGCAAGTTGTTTTTCAAGTTTCGACCAAAACTATGAGCCATATCTTCGGACCCCGCCTTGCCCGGCTTTAGGGAGCTGCCCTCGCCTGGACATTCACTGGGCTTCCACTTTGGGGACTTTCAAGCTGCCACAAAGGGTTGGGTCAGTTGCAAAAAAAAAAGAAGAAAAATGAATTCGATAAGAGGGGCAGGGGCATAAGGCAAGGCTAAAGCAATTTATGTGTCAGAGTGCTTTGGCTTAAACTGGACTTTAATTCTGTTGCACATTAAAGAATACAATTAAATTTACCTCTGGCCTCCAAAGTACTTTCTTTGTGAAACTAAATTCAGCACTTTGCATTTTTCTTGACTACAAATTTTCTTTAAGGTGTTTTACATAGTAAAAACTGAATTTATAATTGAACAATGTGCATTGCAGCTAAGCAGATATAAAATTGTATGGAAATGAAAATCATTTAAATTGTACTCTTTTCAGAGTAGAAGCGGTTTTAACATTCTGGTTTTAAAATTGATCAATTGGGGACATGATCAATGCAGAAAATATTATGGATCTGCAGCCATAAATTAAGAAATCTTTCAAAATTTATTTAAATTTTTTTTAACCATCTGAAATGTTACTTTTAATGATAATTAACATGTAGTATTAATAATAGTAATAGGAACATTAGATAACTGTTTATATGTCTTGATTAATGAAGTCAAATAGCATTGAAGATTCAATTCAACTGAATATACATGAAAAGTGTTGTAATCTGAAAAATAAGATTTATTTGTCACCCTTACTTTAAAATGAAAAAGCAAAAGGAGATAAGAATATCAGATTAATATTGTAGACGTTGTCAACTTGAAGTAAGACTTTAAAATTGACCAGATCTGCTAAAAGCAACTATTGCCGGCTTCGCATTGGAAATTGCCACTAATGTGAATGCTGTTCCTAATGTCGTTGCCGTAGCCACTTAAATTGTCTTCATTTGTTTACTGTCGGACAAAGAATACGAAATAGAGATACAGATACAGAGAAACAGATACAGAGATACAGATACAAAGATACAGATACAGAGACGTAGACAGGGAAAATAATGCACAAAACTAACGATTAACTTGCCGGGTTGCCAACGAGGTATCCGAATACTGCAGCTGCCAAATCCAATGAAAATCCAAAAGCCAAGCAATTTTGAACTCTAATGGAAAATCAATTTAAAGCGCACATACTAACCCCCCTCCCCTTCTTCTTACACCCCTTTTCCCATTCTCTTTGCAGGCTAAACAGCAGACAGAACGCCACGAATGTCGGACGCCAAATACGAAAGCCATTGGCAAACTTGGCTAAAACGTATTTAACCCAATATAAAAGCGAGCGAGAAGGAAGGGCGACTGAGTCGGAGAGAGAGAGAGAGAGAAGGATAGAGAGGAGCAGCTGCACTGAGGTCCATCAGACAGCAAAAGCAACAAACCAAACGGACCACACCACAGACTAGGGAGACTAGGGCTCCAGAGGGGCTTGTCCAGCCGCAGACAGAGCCAGGTCACCAACAGAGACAGATACAGAGACAAAAGACACACACAGAGAGAGAGACCGAAAGAGAGAGAGAGAGAGGAGAGTGGGCACATAATGAGCAGACGACGGTCATCGGCAATGGCAATTACCATGTCGCCGTCATCGTTGTTGTCGTTGGTGGTGCTCCTGCTGCCGTTGCTGGCACCGACAAATGGCCTGGCAAATTGTCCCAACGGTTGTGAATGCGATGACGAAACACTGAAAGTCAACTGTGGTGTGGGCGCACTGGATGTGCTGCCCATTGCCCTGAATCCATCCATACAGCGGCTGGTCATTAAGAACAACAAGCTGAAGACCATTGACTCATCGATGCAGTTTTATTCGCAACTGACATTCCTTGATCTGTCCTACAATGATATGGTCACGATACCGGAACGTTCCTTCCTGTATCATGCCAAACTGCTCGAGCTGCATCTGAATCACAACAAGATTGGTCAGGTGACGAACAAAACGTTTATGGGCCTCAGCACGATAACTGTGCTCAATCTGCGTGGCAATCTGATTGCCGAGCTGGACTATCGCACTTTTTCGCCCATGGTGAAGCTGGTCGAGCTGAATCTCGGCCAGAATCGCATCAGTCACATTGATCCGCATGCCCTGGACGGACTACAAGATTTGAGTATACTCTATCTGGATGACAATACGCTGACAACGGTGCCCGCAGAGATAACATTCCAGGCGCTGCCCAGTTTGGCCGAGCTCTATCTGGGCACCAATTCGTTTATGACCATTCCGGGAGGCGCCTTCAAGGATCTCAAGACTCTGACGCGCCTGGATTTGCGCGGTGCGGGCTTGCACAACATATCGGCGGATGCGTTGGCCGGCTTGGAGCGCATACGCTCTCTGGATCTATCCGACAACAGCCTGCAGGCGGTGCCCACAGCTGCACTGCAGCATCTGGCGCGACTGGAGCAGCTGTCGCTGGGACAAAACGTTTTCGAAGTGATTGGAACGGGTGCCTTTGCGGGTTTGCGTGAGTTGCGGCAGCTGAATATCACCGGAGCACCGCGCTTGCGTCGTGTGGAGAGCGGCGCCTTCACGGACAATGCCAACTTGGAGCACCTGAATCTTTCGGCCAACAAGCAGCTGAACGAGCTGCATGCGAACACCTTTGGGGGATTCCCGCATCTCAGCAGCGTTGTGCTCAAGGAGAATCAACTGAGCTCGCTCCCGGAGACTCTATTCCCCTGGTCGGATCTGCAGACGCTGGATGTGTCCGACAATCCCTTCGTCTGCGACTGCCAGCTGATGTGGCTGCGTAATCTGCTCATCAGCAAGAATGCCAGCAATCAATACGCTCCCGTTATCTGCGCCTATCCGGGCTAATTTGAGGGAGTTGCCCCTCACACAGCTTTCCGAGCCGCTCCTGGGCTGCACCCACGGTGCGGCTAACAACCAGAAGATCATCATGGTCACCCTGGTGGGCTGTGCCGCCCTGATCACTACCTTGGGCCTGATGATCTATGCGTTCCGTCGTCGCATTGGCGAACTGTTCAAGGGTCACTCGGCGCTGGGGCGCAAGGAGCGCGAATATCAGAAGACCTTCTCCGATGAGGACTACATGACGCGGCCGCCAGCACCGGGCTGTGTCGGTGGTGTGCATCCCGGCTCGGGTTATCCCTGCCCGAGCAGCTACAATACCACACAGTATTTGGGCAGTCGGCCGATACCTGTCACCGAGCTATAGCTAGAAGTTCCACCCCCACCTCAGCTGCGGGGTCGGGGTGGTGCCCCAACCAGTCATGGAGCATCGCTACAGCAACTCCAGATCGTGCCCAGCGCTATCGACGCGCATGCTCCGTTCGCCCAACTCAGTCACATTCACTACATGACCAACAATCCACTAACCACTGCATCATCAGCCGCAAGTTCAGCAGCAGCTGCATCCACAACAGCAACAACAACTCCTCGCTCCCATCACTCGCAACAGGATATGCGACTGTTGGCCAATGGCAAGGCACTCGGCTTGAATGCCTCGCTGCCACGCCACATGGCTGGGCGGCAGTGTGGGGTGCAGGAGAGCACCCTGTCGCACTACAGCCAACCGGTGGGCATTCGCCTCACCCAGGATCACTTCAATCACAATGGTGGCGTCTATGCCAAGCCCTGCGATGCAATGACCGACCCGGGCTATATCCACAATAATTCGCACTATTCGCTGCCGCTGGATCACGATATGCCGCCCAGTCCCACGCCCACTCCGCCGCCGCCGGCGTTGCCGTTGCGCAATGGATTAGGCATGGCTCTGGTGCATGGCAACACAACCGGCAGGCGTTCGTTCAACAGCAGCAGCAGCAACAGCAACAATAACAACAATGTGGCAACGCTGTCAAACAATAATCACAATGGTCTAGTGTTGGCTAACGGCTGCAGCGGCATCAACAACAACAATGGCAGCCTGCGTCGCTATCACTGATACACGCTTAAGTCGTGCGGCACTCTTTGCCGCAGCAGCATGTTGCAGCCGCACACAGCGGACATTGAGTTGCATCACTTCTACAAGGGTTGAATCCGGTTGCATTGTGTTATTATTGTGAACTATGCATTATTTAATATTTATGTGTATCTATATAATTTTAGTTAATTTTATTCAAGCGTGCAGCGATCTGTATAAATTAGCATTTAGTTGAAAAGAATTGCTGAATTGCAGGCGGACATGTAAATAGGTACAGCTTGACACTGTTTACCAACACTGTTTGGCAAATCCCCACAAGTCACCTGCTGCATTTCTTTTCTTCGCATCCAGTGATTTAACTAATAAGTTTTGCTTACAATTTTCAAATTCGTGTAAATAATTAAATGCTATGCACAAATTAAGGAATACAAAAACACAAAAACCCTAAAAAAAAAAAGGAATCAATTTGTATACAATTAATTTACGCTTCTAAGCACAAGTCATTAAAAATATATGTGTATTTAGTATAAAATATTGCAATACAAAACATAAAATATATAAATATATCTATTAAAAAATCAAAACACAATTGCAAAATGAATATGAAAAAATATATTTAAAAAAAAGAACAAACAATATCTAAGCTAAACTCACTTAAAAAGAAAAGCATACAAATTATAAGTAAAAATCATATATAACAAACAAGCAAAACAAAATACAACAAAAACAAAAAAAAAAACGATTTTTATAGTTAATAAATTCCAAATAAATAGACACAGGAGGTAAACGTAAATTACTTATCGAAATAATAAATAATGAAAAACTTTATGAAAGGCATCAAAATAGTAACAATTATACAAACTACACAATATTCATAAGGATGATACTACAAATTGACACAATATGAATACGAAAGCAATTTATGCAGTAGATAAATACGAATATAAAATATGTGTAAATAAAAAGTGTATGCTGGAACAAATTTAATCTTCTGTTGTTTTTTATATGGCCATTTGGCTGATTGGTTTCTCGTTTTTATTCACATTTTAATTATTATTCTTTTTTATCATCGTTTCATATTTTTTTGTCGAGTGGCGCTTTTGAATAATTGTACATATTTAACAATTTAATGGAACAAAATGCAAAACACATACAAGGGAGTTAAACGTAACCTAAAACTAAACGGACAAACGAAAGAAGAGAAAAGAAATTTATTGTAATTGAAAAACTTATTCAAACGTAAATTTATATTCATATTTCATAAAGCGACAAATCTCTCATCTAGTTATATACATACATTGAAATAAATAAATTAAATTTCATAGATTCTAAGCAAATTACAAGGGACACGAATAGTTAAAAAAGCAAAAAAAAAAAAAACAAAAGCAAAACAAAAGTTAAACAAGGTGACAAGAATTAAGAAAAGTATAAGGAAATCAACCAAAAATATGATCATATTCTACTATTGTACGAGTACTACAAAATGCTATTAAGCTAGACGAAGATAACAAAATATAAAATACCAAACAAGGAATTTCCATATACTTCTACACGTACTTACGTAGGAAGGATGTTGGATGAAACATAAGATTGCAAACTGTTCAAGAACTAGAAGATAAAATCAAATAAACAACAAACTTAACATATTAAATGAAACACTTGTTTATTTTTTGGAAGAGCCATTTAAAAAAAAAATCCTAGTCTTAACGGTTTTGAACCTATTTGCCTGCAAGTAAGTACATATATATTTATTTATAAAATTTATAATAACCAAATGTAGTTTTCTAACATTTTTATATTTATAAACTTTTATTTATATATACAGATTCAACAAATGTTTTATTTATATATTTTAGGCGTTGAATCATATATATATACCTCGAATTGATTGAACAATTTATCATATTAAAATAAAAATTGAGTTGCGAATGAAATTGTGTAAATCAACAACGTAAACTATTAGTCTGGGCTCCATGGCCCCAGCATAGTGAAGCAACATACCCAAAAATGATAAGTGACTTATTTAAAGTAAGCCCTTACGAAAGAATCTCACTTAAGTAACAGTGTCTCACAGCTTATTTCCGACAGTGTCTAGCAAACATTTTAATTGCCTGCCATAAACTAATTATACATTATTTTTCAAAAATGCCAAAGACCGATGGCAGGTACATATATTAACCACCTAAATGAATATATGACCCCATAAACTGGGATTTCCCCATCAACACCTGGTCGGGTTATGTAAAAGGTACCATAAAACCCGGATTTTGTACGTCAGGTTGATTATTTTCGGTATAAATAGACCAATCCTTCGTAGTCAGTTCAGTTATATCCTGCATCTCGGGTGCAACCAGTCAACAAGGAATATGGGCAAACGGACTACCATTGAACAACGGAATCTCATTCTGGAACACTTCAAGATCGGATATTCACAGCGCCAAATGGCTAAAATGGTAAATCTAAGCAAATCAACTGTGACCAACATCATTCGGCGCTTCGTCGACGAAAATCGAATAGAGGACAAGGGCAGAAAGGCACCAAACAAGATTTTCACCGATCAGGAAGAGCGGAGGATCATCAGGAAAATAAGGGCAAATCCCAAGCTATCGGCTCCAAAACTGACTCAACAGGTGCAGGATGAAATGGGGAAAAAGTGCAGTGTGGAGACTGTGCGCCGGGTTCTACGCAACCATGGCTTTAATGCCCGAATACCACGGAAGAAGCCCTTTATAAGCGCAAAAAATAAAGGGATTAGGATGACGTTCGCCAAAGCCCACTTGGACAAGGATGTGGAGTTCTGGAACACATGTACATGTAGGAGATCCACCAGAGTTGCCAGACGTTTGATAGTCGAGAAGAAAAGCGAGTCAAGGAGTGTTAATAAAAAAAACAGTTGTGACAGTATTTTCTTAATTAAGACATTTAACAAATTACAATACAAACAATATATTTATTAAAATAATCTACATACATGAATATTTATTGTTGCAGCTCAGGTGAGCCTCCTCACAAGCAACTCTGGCTACATTCCTATTTTACAGAGACTCTCATGCACTCTTTGAGCACATAATAGTCAATAAGAAATATTTAATGAATATTCATATTCATTCGACTTACTTTAACTTCATTGAGCAACACTCTATTTATTTAGCCAACATAATTGAGTTTCTCAAAAATAGATAATCTTTATTAAAATATCAATAAATAAGTTCAAATAAATAATTGAATGACTTGTTTCTTTGACAAGTGTGCAAAATGTCATAGTGGTGCTATTTGTACAGTTGTGTAATATATGTATATAAATATATATAAACACATATCATCAGCGAAATATTGTAATTTTGTCTATATATAGAAATTCGTAAGTTAGTCACATGGCACGTATTTATTTTGTCACCTGACAACTTGGCGGGTCTTACACAAATATCTAAAAATGCACAAAAGATGAAATGAATAAATAAATGCATACATATAGATATCTATATATACATAGTATATAGTAGTCAAATGCTCCGTGTGCACTATAAATAAATCAATCGAAAATGTTAAATTTACTTTTTGTTCAACAATTCTTTTTATTTAGTCATGTTAATTTCGTTACGCTCGAAAACCATGTGGTAGCGTGGCCGAGCGGTCTAAGGCGCTGGTTTAAGGCACCAGTCTCCTCGGAGGCGTGGGTTCGAATCCCACCGCTGCCAAGTGAGAATTTATTTTATTATTTTTAGTGTATTACTTTTTTTATATAGCATTTTATAATTTTGAGAAAATGATAAACAATTGGCGAACAGTATGCAAAACTGCTTAGTTTGCTCCATTTGTCAAGATTTGTCAGCTGTTTGTCAACACTGGCAAGTGGCATACCTAAACGCTCTTTTATGTAATTTGCGTAGCAACAGCGACATGTTGGCACTCATCTGCATAATTTAATTACATTTAACAATAACAAAACAAGCGCACACTCACACACACACACACACACATGCATACGTACGCAAACGCAAACACACACGCACACACACAACGCGCGTGCTGCGTTTTGTGCTAAGAAGTGTGAGACGCGAGAGAGGAGAGAAGCAAGTGACTCTCTGTCTCTCTCACTAGCTGCAGTTCCCATGTTACTTGTCAAGCAGCACACGACGGCCATCAACAACAACAACAACATCGAAAAATCTCAAGTACACAACGCGACGAGGGACGGCTGGCATAAACAGTTACACATTTGCATGACACGCCGTCTCCTTCTGCGCCCCCGAAAGCTCCCATAGGTGTTTCGTACTGTTGGTTATTGTTCTTGTTCTTGTTCTTCTTGTTTCTGCATATGCGACATTAGCGCACGCAAACAACGTGCACACAATTAGAAGAATTAACAGTAGTTAAGCTGGCAGCAACTTGTCGGCAAGAAGTGCTGCGGGTGCAGCGAAAAGGAATGAATGAGAGGGAAGTAGAAATGGAAGTGGAAGTGGATAAGGAGCTGCTGGTGCACCTAGTGCTGCTGCAGGCATTTTCTGTTGTTGTTGTTTCAGCAATGCTTGTAATTTAGTTTGGTTTGTAGATTGGTTGAGGGAAGGGGAAAGGAGTGGGGCGGAGGGGAGGAAGGAAAAACAGTGCGTTGCACTTTTCGCATAGTTTTCGACTTGTGTGCAGCCTGTCGTCTGCCAGGACCCATTTGTGCACGGCGCACGGGGTGGCAGGTTGGAGGGCTATTCTGCGGCAACTTATTGGCCACAACATGCCAACTTATTAGGCAAGAGCGCAAAAGTTATAAATTGTTTTACGAGGCGCACATTGTTGCGGGTATAAATATGAGAGCATAACATAAGCCATAAGGCAGAGCAAGCCAAGAACTTCGACTGCAACGCCAGACAGCGGATCCAAAGACTGCCGGGGAGTGTGCAACAAAAGTTCCATCTCCATCCAGATATGTCAGTATGTATATATCTTTACGATGAGTTTTATGTTTAGTTAAGTAATTGTCCACTCAAGTCAGAAACTTATTTTAAGCTCAGGTGTTAACCAAATTGCTAATCAGTTTAAATTAAATATTTAAAATTGAATAAGGACTGTCAATAAGTAATAAATTAATTTATAATAATTTAATAAATAATTCAGGCAAGGCATTCACTTAAAAGTTCCAAAGTTTCCGGACGTATCTGAGTTTTCAGTTGGCCATAACACGACCGACCGGATGTCCGGTAACACGCGCCACAGCCCAAAAAATGGAGGACGCATTGTCCTTGGGCCGCCGCATCTATTGTGTTATATCCGTTGGCTGTTATTCTAGTTCGTCGCGAAAATTAAAAACTTGCCTATGACTAACTGCCGAAATCAACAACACTCTCCCCACCCCCAACACCCTTCACAGGGTGTCCCCTCCGTCGTCTGCGGTCGCTTTTCTGTGGGCTTTTTGTGTGCGCTCAGCAAAATTTC